TTAAGCGATATTTAAACTTTTGAGACACCTTTTACCCTTACCTCCCTAACTATTTATTCCGTTTTTATGCAAATGCTTTAAAATTTATTAGAGATCCCAACCTGTGCTTTGGTTTTAAATGTAAATGGTAATGTGCTAAGACCCGTATGGCTCAATATAAAAACCTACGTTGACCTGCCCAGTATTTCCTTCCTAAAAATTCTAAAAGCTTTCAAAGCTATTTAAATCAAATGAGCTTGGAGGCATTCACTCTCGCTTCAATAGCAAGGAGCCGAACAATCAACGCACTTGCGTGTAAGAATATAAGTACCAAATCATGCAAACCCGGTGAAGGGTTTGTAAGCGAGAGCTGCCTTTACTCGAGTGATAATGAATTGAATTCCTTGCTGATAAGTCTAAAACTATCTTGTACAGAATATTAAATATATGGCCTTAATCGGTTGTAAATTAAAAATTCATCTATTAAATAGATTCAATCATGGTAACCTAAATGTGCTGAGGCTATAGCCAATGCTTGATACATATTATGGCCCAACAAGATAAATAGTTTTAATCTTCCTTATCTGAATAAAAAAAATCCTGCCTCGGTTGTAATTTAAAAATTCATCTATTGAATATATTTAATCGAGATAACAGAAATTTGCCTGGGTATAGCTAATGCTGGACACATATTGTTACCGACAAGATTAATAGTTTGGTTCTTTATCTGAGCCCTATTTGCAGATTACCCAGATTTTCGTTGTCATTTCCTTATTAGAACGTGTTTAAACCATTGTAAATGAGCATTTTCAAGGAGGGCTACGGCTTAAAACCATGGTTAGGAAGTAAATCCATGCTTGTTTACCTATTTTGTTTAAATTCGCTTATTTATCTATTCGTCTATCTATCCTACCATTTTCTACTCCATCCATTAGCTAAGGGTCCTTACCTCAGACGGACAGTCGCATTCTCTCAAAGGATCCTCATCCTCGATATCACCGCAGCCCTCTATTAGCGACTATGTTATCGTTAAACATGAAGATGCCCTTCAGCCTGGCCTCGAGAGACTCCCTTCGCCTGGTATGAAAATATATTTACATCTTATATAAATGGTTTTACCTTGTTTGCCCAATTTGGTCTTATTGTCAGACGCCTCATCCAAATTCCTTTGTTATAAAATAAAAATAATAATTTACCGTGAACTTGCCACATTCCCAGACGTTTCTCTGGAATCATCAGTAAGCCTTCCCATTATTGGCACCAAAGTGCGATTCTCGCTAGCTAAAAATGCATATCCATGTGCCCACAGCCCCAGCGATAATAAAAGCCTGGCTAATGCGTTGAGAGTATCTTACAAAATATGCCGGATGTGAAGAGAAAACAAAGCCAGAAGCGTAATTAGAGGACAGGCTATTTGACCAAATTATGACAACCGTTAAGGATAGCCCAAAAATTTAAATGGTTTCCGTGAGTTTGAACCATCAGTATGTGCATAATCCTCTGTTGATTCCGTAATCGGGAGAAAGTCTGATAAAAATGTTGTTTTAAGATTTCATCCTGTCGTTGAATAAATAATGAACCCAATTTTAAATAGTCAAAATACGCTTAATTCCTAACTATATTTTATAAATAATATCCTATTCTTAATATTAGAATCCTGTATTTTAACCTTGTGCAATTTCCCTTCTCCACTCAGAATGCCACGGAGTGTAGAACATGACTACAATAGTGAAGTGCACTGTGTAAATATCTAGTTTATTTCACTCTGGATTACTAGTCATACAGTGGTTCCCAGATAAAAGCCTGACTAGTGAACTTAAGATTATTATGAAGAAGGTATGTATCATCATTTTTTATGCTTGTGATCGCATAACTTTTCATTACGATGGCATTCATTAGTAGGAGTAATATGCGGTGACATTACGTCGAAAAAATTCTGCCCTAGTAAATTTTCTATACCAATGTCGTATACAACGAAAAGAGACTGCGACCACACAAAAGGCCACACCATCTTGGTCTTTATACCTTTATATGCTAATACTTTCATCTTCATCGACTTACAGATAAGATTCGCCAGTCATGTCGTCGCTGGCGCAGACGCCTTATTTTTCGAGGAAAATTAACAATGCACACGGCCTTTGAAAGGGCAGACAACCGAAGCCCAGCCGCCGTAACTGCGGTCGCTATCTCACGCGACCATCGCTCCGTGCTGATAGGAGATGCCCGGGGTCGTGTTTTTGCCTGGACCTTGCAGTTAGACGTTTCATCATCCTCATCTTCTGCGGCAGCGGCAGCCGCGATAGCATCATGTTTAGCCGGCTCCCCTTCGCCAAATGCCCTGGGGAATGCCACCGGAATAGCAGGTGGCCCGCCCGGG